CTTCCTCACAACCCTCTGTTGTCCTTCCCAGTTCTATCTGCGCTCAATACTATCTGGATGACAGAGGAGACGGAGCACTCCCTGGAAGTGGAGTGGGAGAACCCACCAACAGATGTGGATTATTACAAACTGAAGTTCAAATCCCTGGTGGACATGGATGAGAAGCAAGTCATGGTGCCCAAAAGCAATGACCCTAAGAGCAGACACATCATGACTGGTGAGTGCTTGTGGGTATTCCAAACTAGGCAGGGGCAGGAAGAAATGGCAGGAGTGATTGATGGTCAGACTATAGTCCCACGATGATGCTTCTCTCATGTGTAGATGGCCAGTTTTCCTTCACCTTGTGCCTGCCATAGGCGAGGGTGAGATCTATTAGGGTTCCCAATCCCGTAATGATGGGTGTCTTCACAGGGAGAAAAGCTTCTATGCCCTGTGGACAGCAAGTTTCAAGGCATATTAGTTCAACTTTAATTCTGTCCTTGCTAGGAATAAAGTATATTCTGTTTCAAAGCTGGTAACACTGATGTTACGGAAATCTCCATTTGCTTCAGCCAGTGTATGGCCTAAAGGAAAGCCCAGACCAAAAGTGCTATCAAGGCATTCTTAAGACAAAAGTAAGTTAGGTAGAAATCTAAACTTTAAGTTCCTCTCTGATACAAACCTAGAACTAAACAAAACAGCTTTCTTTAAGAAAAAACTGTCTCCCCTAATTGTTGGTAACTTTCCCTTTTGTTCTTTGTAGGCCTGAAACCTGGTACTGAGTACGAGGTCACTGTCATACCTGTGAAAGAGAATATTGAAGGGAAACCATCCTCAGTGAGTGGTAGGACTGGTACGTAGAAAGTTTCTTTTATGATAGTGATGTTTCTCCAGATTTCAGGGACAGGTATGTCAAGATTGCAGCACAAAAGGCGCACAGTTAGCTGGTGCTTCACGCATGACCTGCAGGCAGGCTGCTTTAAGTCTGTCTACACTATATTAAACAATAAACTAGTCCTATCTCAGTCTTTTGCCTTGTTTTTTAAACATAGAGTAACTTCACCTTTAACCTGACAAATGGCTACAGCCAGACACAAGCGTAGTAAGCTTGCCTCTGTGTATATGTAAAAGTAGATCTGGAAACCCTGTTGGTTTATTGATGCTTCAGTTTAAAAAAAAAAGGGGGGGGCAGAATGTTTTTGAGCTATGATATTGCAGAAGAGAGCTTGACAATTTTGAACTCTCGTTCTAAGATTCTGGAAACTCTGAAATTCAGCACTCCTACAAAAGAGCAGACATGCTGCATCCTAAGACTGAAAAATCCCAAATCAGGTTGGACATTCCTGAGGTTGTCTTGTAAATTATTTCATTAGAAAAAAATAGATTTAAAGCAGAAGGGAGCTCTTCTGCTCTCCAGAAGAGCAGCCACACTGCCATTGTAAGGCTGCTCTTCTTCCTTGTATAGATTCTGATTATTTGGAGCACTCTTAGCTTGTTTTTTCAAGCTGTTCTTCACAGACATGGGGGCTGCAAAACTTCCTAAAAGGGGAAAGAAAAAGGCCCACAATGAGCAATCCTACTCATATTCTTATGTAAGCCATGAAACTTAGGAGCTGCAACTATGACGAATACCAACCATTGTAAGAGCTACGACTAAACTCTCATTCATCACCTAAAATAGCAGAAGTCTTAGGGGAGTCTGAGAGACAGATTTGCAGGGTAGGCAGAAAGTGAGGAGCACACCAGAGGCAGAGAAAGGATGGAGTCTATACCTGACGCTGTGAGGAGGGCAAGCAAGATGCTCAAGTTGATACCCATGGAAGGTAAGGCAGGTAGCCTGAAAGCTCTTCCTGCGGAAAAAAATTGGACAGTTTAAATGGCAGAACAGTCCTCCTTTCTCCCCACTCTGACCATGCTTGTTTCTCGTGAGTGCCTTCCTTTCTCAAGGGGCTGCAGAGGGGAATATAGATAACACTGGTTTAGCTGGTCAAAGCAGCAAGGCAAAAATGAAGGAAATGTGCACGTTATGGCAGGTATTGTAGTGGTTTAATTCAGCTGGAGATTCCTAATCCAGTACTTTTGAAATCTTCTCTCAGGAGTTGATAGCCCAACCAATGTGGCAACTGATCAAGTGACAGAAGATACAGCCACTGTCTCATGGAATAAAGTTGAGGCTCCCATAGACAGGTACATGGTGAGATATACCTCAGCTGATGGAGACACAAAGGAAATAAAGGTTGGGAGTGAAAATGACATGGTCACTTTACATGATCTGGACCCAGGCATGCAATATGTCATCCACATCTGGGCAGAGAAGGGGCCCTATAGGAGCAAGAAGGCAAGCACCAGAGCTGTGACAGGTAAGTTGTAGCAGCAGCAGTGGTGGGAGATGAGTTTGAAATTGACTCCATCAGTTTTACTTGTTTTACTAAAGCTTCTCCTGCTTTGTACACTTTTTTAGTGAGGCAAAAATTCATGTCATTCTTACTAGCATGGTTAAACAGATCTCCAGCTCAGTTTGAAGACTCTTTGTTTTGAGTCTGATTGTGGACAGGTTGTATGGCAAGGCATCAGTTACTGTTACTACAAAGAACAGTGAAATACAGCAAAAACTAAAGCCTCCTAACTGGAATATGTAATTCACATCTTGCCTTTGAAATGCCATAAACAATCTCCAGGCTTTTCTTTGGGTGACTGTAGCTTTTCCCTAGAGGACAGGGGGCTCATACACATTTTGCACAGATAGTCATGCCAGAGTGTTTGCTAAAAAGGAAAACCAAATTTATTTGGATCATGCCGTAAATTAAGAGGGGAATAAAATTTTCTGAACAGGTTGTTTGGCTGCTGTCCCTTGATGACAAGAGGTTTCCATTGGAAGGATGCTTACAGCAGTGTCTGCAGCTGGGTTAGGAAACTCCTTGAACCTCTGTTTTGCTCAGTTCTTATACTCCAGCCAGCCACCGTCCAATGTGGCTGTGGGTACAGGAGCAGTTTCTGCTGAATATTTACAAATGTCTTATCTATGTGCAATCTGCATTTCAATAGCAGAAATTTCCTAGGGGAGCGTTTGAAATGCTCCACTCAGGATGTTAACCAACATATTTAAGCATATAAATCCGACTAGACACAAGAGCTGCCTCAGGGAATTTATAGGACTGCCAGAAGTTCTCATCCAGAGGGGATCAGTAAGGATCAGTCAAATGCTTAATTAAGAAGCTCAGTCAATCACAGCTTTCAATTGGTCCATTGTCACAAGCCAGCTCATGTTCTCACTGACAGGGGACTGGCTGGGAGGCTTGTGGACCACCCAGGAAGTTAAGAGGTTAAATGCACTGCATATGCATACGGGCACAGCCCATACCCAGCTGCAGCACAATTATAACTAAAGAACAAACTTGATTTGCATATCACAGAAGAAAATAATTCACTTGATTTTTCTTGCCACAGGTGAGGGTCTTATGCTGCTAGCTAGCTGAGCTGTGATTATTCAAACACAAGTTCCCAGTGTGCGCCACTCTAGGGTGACACAAACAAGCTTCAGCATCTTTCATTAAAATTAGTTTTCATTTTGCAAAAGAAGTGAAATTAGTACACACAGGTGGAAGATCACAACTTTTACAACCACTAATGTGTGATAAATCACAGTACAGCTAAGCTGGTGTGTGGTAAATTACAGTGTGGCTGTTGGAACCCTGGAGTTTAAAGCCTGCGGCAGAATAAGAAATGCTGTTCCAACAATTTGGGAGGCATCTGCAAATCTTTCATTGCTCAGGATGCTAAGATGTGTTTAACAGTTCAGTGAAGAAAAAAAAACCAACAAAAACCCCCCCATGCTCTGTGTGAAGGTTGTGTAAAGGCTATCCTTGAAGGGTCACATTCCTGCAGGCTGTGTTGTGATAGTGACTTAAGGCTTGTGAAACCTAGTGGCATGTTTCCATCTGTGAAAGGGCAGGGGAATGACTGTAATAATGGGGGGAGATTGGAAGTGGCTTTTTTCTAGTGGAGAATGTGAACTTAGTTTTCACTAGTGCTGTTGCCTTGTTCTTCACCTTAAAACTTTCTCTTAAAAAAAATTGCCAATCTAGTGTCCATGTAGTGGCCAGATGTCTGACAGAAGACACAGTCATAATCTTCTGGGATAAGGACAGATAGACAGATACTTGATGAGAGACAAAACAATTGATGGGGACACAAAGGATGTGGAGGTGGGGAAGGACCAGAGCATCACTGCTTTGACAGGACTGAAGCCAAGCAAAAATAATGCCACCAGCCTGTAGGCAGAGGAGAGCCCAGCAGACATCAGAGCTGTGATAGGTAGGAAGTTTTGCTTTAGTACAAAACAATCTTGTTCCAGGAGAGGTGTATTTCAGACAGATTCTGAGCAAGTGATTTTGGTTTTTTTTGAGTTAATTCCCAGACCAACTGAGGCAAGAGCTTGCGATCTCCTGAAAGCAAAAGATAGTAACACTAAGTTCTGCATGGGCTTTCCTCTCTGCCTATGCAGGGTTGGCTGTGTTTTTGTTGCTCCCCAACAGAAAGCCCTGCTGTTCCAAGTGTGAAGGAGATACCTAGACCCAAGCTGAAATACCTCAGAATTGGGCACCTCCAGCTTTGTGGTTTAGGCCTATCACTGATAAGAAATAAAGCATGAGAAGTGGAAGAAATTGGTAGGGTCCTTGAAGAGAAGAAGTAAGTGTAGCATCATTGGGACAACTTGTGTTCTTCGCTCCTAACTGTTCCTGCAGAAACTACCAGCCCAGCTCACCCAGCACAGGGGCAGAGGGCTGACTGGCCCTGCCAAGGCTCGGCCACCTTGGCACTGACATGCAAGCATGCTTACCAATGTATCAAGAATGGCAAGGCGTGCAAGGAGTTAGCACCCTTTTTTCAATCTACCTTGCACTATGAAATAGTACAAAATTATTTGGCTCCACAAATAGTGATATCCAATGGGACTCAGTTAAGTATTAGTTGTTTACACTGCATGATCAAAACACAGTTTATAGCTAATGATAAAACTTCTATTAGATTTACCAGTTTGAGCTGGTAAAAACCCAAGCAGACTTTTGGACACACAAACCCTTTTCAGGTCTTTGGGCACAGAGTCATTTCCCAAAGCTCATCTGTTTTTTCCAAATACATTTCATAGTCTGATAAAGCGTACTGCCTCTGGCTATAAAACTTATGTTGTTTGTGTCTTTAGAGCATTGTGATTACCACAGTATTATACTAAAACTTCTAATAATTACAACTTTCACTTCCAGAAATTGACAGCCCAACTGAGCTGCTGACTGACCAAGTCACAGAGGATGCAATTACTGTTTCCTGGAACAAAGTCCAAGCTTCAATAGACAGATACAGAGTGAGCTACATCTCAGCTGACAGGGACACAGAGGAGAGAGAGGTGGAGAAAGACAAGGATGTCACTACTTTGGCAGGACTGAAGCCAGGCATGGAGTATGTCATTTATGTCTGGGCAGAAAAGGGAAAACAACAGAGCAAGAGGGCCAGCACTGAGGCTGTGACAGGTAAGTGGGCAATAGATTTTATTAAGAGTATAAGTTACAGTCCAGCTTTGCCTTAACACTGAATAAATCCATCCCAAGACATTTTCACAGTAAAGGGAGATTCAGGCTTAACAAATCAAGACTTCAGGTTAGTGCATCTTGCTGTGAAACCTATTCAGCATCACAACAGAGAGATCCTAATTATGTACTACAAACGGGCCATGTTGTGAATACTAATAGGGATAGGGAAAATGAAGCCTTTGAGCAGTCTCTTATGTGTTTGTATAGTCTTGTTTTATTTTAATTGCTTAATTTGTTTATCCTTCATCATGGAATAAGGAAATTCTCAGTTCCTTTTTGCAGATAAAAAAATGAAAGTGCAGAGAGACTAACAGTATGCCAGATGCCTTTTCTTGCAATAGGATGATTAATACTGGTGCCTTGGTATTTCTTACCAGGACTTTCCCGCTGTGTTTCCAGTCCTGGTTAAGGAAGTGTAGTCATCTGCACAGTGTGAGGGGTGCTGGTTTATTAACAACACTGTAAACCTGAATATCTGAATCCATTGCAAGTGGTTGTAAGCACTTAAAAGACCCATGCTGGTCAGGAACTTGCTGAAGGATGATGAGTAAATGTGTATCTGAGTCATCTTGGTCTCTTAGCAAAAGAGCTTTGGTTGTTCTCTCACTTTCTGGACAGGTGACATGTATGTGAGCTTTGGAGGCTTGTGACCATGAGAAAACAAGAGAGTAACAGTATCTTGCTTTGCAAAGGCTGTCTTCTGTCCAGGTCAGGACTTACTGTGCTGTTCCCTAGGAAAACATCTATAAGGATTAAAGATAGACCGCGGTCTACCTCAGACCTTGGTTTGTGGGTCCAATCAATGTGTGATCAGAAATAGGACTTGAAAAAGGAAGAAACTGGCAAGACTCTTGAGGAGGCGGAGGAGTGTCACAATGTGACTATGACAGCCTGTGTCCTTCCCTTCTAACTGTCGCTGCAGAAATCGACAGCCCGGCTCACCTAGTGAGCGACAGAGGACACAGCAACCATCTCCTGGGACAGGGTCTATGCTCCTATAGATAGGTACCTGGTGAACTACACCTTTGTTGATGGTGACACACAGGAGATAGAAGCGGAAAAGAACAAGAGCACTACGAGACTGACAGGACTGAAACCTGGCATTGAATATGTTGTCTTCCTCTGGGCAGGGAAGGGAACACTTCAGAGCATGAGGATCAGCACTGAGGCAGTGACGGGTATTCCAGAAAATATTTGTGCTTCTACATGATAATGTGTTGTGGAGCTGATCTCAATTTTTGGCCTATTGCAGGGCATATGCTAGACAATGGTTTGTCTTGTGGCGACATCCATGCTATAGGCACCTTCAAGGTTCAGATAAAGATAGTGCCAAGTCTAGAAAACTTTTTGAAAATAATTACTACTCTTAGTTCAGAAACTACTAGCCCAGAGTGAGCTTCACAGCGCTTTGCTAAAGCACTCATGAGCTTTGCCTGCTCTTTTTCATCTTCAGGTATGCTGAGCTTTGCAAGCGTGGCTGAGCTCTGCCCCAAAGTATTACACTACTGCTGTTGAGTCCTGTCTAAAGTTAGGATGGCTCGGTTAGTGTCACTGGTAAGAATAGCATTTATCAATGAATCAAGACTTGGAAGGAAACACCTCTATTTGAATTGTCTTATCCCAAAACATAAAAGGGAAGCCTGATTTGATCCTGGATAAAGTTTCTTAACTATCCAGTAAGTAATTTCCTTTGTATAATCAAGGCTTTTGCTTGCAGAATTTGACTGCATAGCTAGGCTGAAGACGGACTGGGTGGCAGAGGACACTGCTAGTGTTTCCTGGGAATGAGGGAGAGGTGGGGCAGGACATAGGTCTTGCTATCCCAGTTAGTTTTAAGCCAGATGTGGTGTGCATCATCTGTACCTGGACTGGAAAAGGAAGCAAGTAGACCAACAGGGCAGGCACAAACACTCTCATGGGTGACCTGTGGAAATGCCGGAAAGTGATTTTTGCAGCTATGGAAGGAGGAATGTGCACCTTCACTACCTAGAGCTACTATAATAGAGACTGCTGCTCAAGATGATTAAAGAAGTGCAGATGTTGTAATACAAGAGTGATGACAGCTGATGGTACCCAGTTTATTTCACTAGTCCTTAGTCAAAAGCATGCTGTGCTTCATATGCTGTTATCAAGCCTAACAGTAAGAGAGGTTTAACAACCAAAGTTAAACCATTTTAGAATTGGGAACAGTTTAAAATAATTGCCTGCCCTTTGACTCTTGACCTTAGACTTGTACTAGCAGACTGCCAATTTCCTGTTCAGCCAGCCATAAGGATTATGGTGTGCTGGGAACATCAGGGTCACTCCACATCCACTGGCCTTGCTGATATACTTAGTTTGTGAATCAAAGTGGTGTGAGATAGAACAGTTGAAGCTTGGATTTAGGGCAAGATGCCAAACAGTTCCCCAATGCTTACAGAGGTCGACAGCAGCTGATGGAGACAGATGAAGATCTCCTGAGGCCAAGAGAGTGAACTGGTCTGAAACTAGAAGGCGAATTTCAGCAAATTGAAATATTGTTTGTTTATTTGTTTAGTTTTTAACTGGAATCAAAATGGAGACACCTGGGAATTTTGCATGAAGTGAAACTACTGGGAGGGGGAATGCATTTAGCATTAGTAGGGTTAGCTTTGAAATATCTTCACAAGGCACATGCTTTTGGTTTTGGTGTTATATTTCCAAAAGTAAGGGCACTTCTGCTAAAATAACACAACTTCTGAGGGGAAAAAATCCCCAACGTTTTCAAGGTGATGGCTGGTTATTCCCTAGCATTAAAACGGGCTGTGGCAGGGAGTTTTCTCAGTGGTCTGCTGCACCCATGGGAACTACAGACTGGCCTTTAAGAGCAGTGCTGTGAAACTGCAGACTAAGGCGACGCTTCCAATCCCTTGCTTCTCGTGATGGATTTGGTACCTTCTAGCTCCCTCTGCAGTCCAGCGGGAGGTATACATGTTGTCGGCTCTTCGGAAGGTTTCTGCCTCGTTTTACTGAAAGCAGTTTTTTACTGGTCTCCCAGGTGAATCACGAGTTCATTAGATAATGTACTAATGCTTAACTCGTGAGTCTAGTGAAAGGTGGTCTTCAGTTATAACGAATAGCCAGTGTTTAAACCGACATGCTGTGTGAACTTTGGTGTTACTGTCCATGTTGTTCTCCTCATATTCGGTGTTTTGATTTCTTGTTCTCTGCCTTAGTAACTGTTTTAAGCAGTAATCCTATGCACGAGGATCGCAGCATTTCCTGGGAGAAGCCACTCTTCTCATTTATCTAAGAGAGACATAGCTTGACCTTGTCTTTCTCTGTGGCCTTTTCACAATGTAGTATTTCACTGATGCATTGTAATTGTTAATGTTTATCCTCATAGCACTCTTCAAGGTCTTGGAAGTCTTGTTGCCTGGTTTATATAGAGAAGAATTAAATTAACAGACAATGACATACCTATAGTACTCCAGGGGAGCTGGAGGGAAGATAAGGGAATTGAGATTAATTATTCAGTTATCATTTCCTATGAACTCCAGTGTACTTCAGTTTGGAGCACATCTGTGGGTTCTTGCCTACCAAGATCCTTCTCTCTAAAACTTGGAAAGCCAGACAAACCTTGCTACTTAAATTGTTTTCCTTAAGATGTTCCCAAAATATATAGAATGTAGCAAGCACAGGATGAAAATTAGTGAGAGGCTGCTTCCATTGTTGTTATTTCCAAATGAGCTTTTACCTAGGGAAGCAGTTCAGCCCTCTTGTAGGTATCTCATAAGACAGTTTTTGACAACTGCTGTGAACTGGCATTGCTTAAAAGTAATTCTGCTGTTCTTCCTTATGCTGAACTTGAACAGTCTGACTGCATAGGGAAAATCTGGCTGAGCTGGTGAAGGAGCTTGTGTCCAATATACAGCACAGACTGAACTGTAAACCTGTGCATTTCTTTGTGTTCCTGCATTAACTAAAGAAGGCTCAAGCATGATAACAATAAAGCCTGTGAAGTCATTCTTCATCTGCAGTGGGGAAACAAGGACTAGGGCCTCTCAGCCAGCCACACTGGGGCTATGCTCCAGCACTGGGGCAAAGAACCCAAACCTGATGTATCTGTGAATGCTACTTGGAGGTGAGCCTGATGGAGACTTCTCAGGCAGCTGTGTCGTGCTCCTGGACCCTGAACAGTTGAGTCAACTGCAGGGCTCACAAAACATCCCAAACCATATCCGTAGCAGACCTTGCCATGTTTAGCTTCTGCTGCTTGCTAGCTGTGAAGGTAACTGGGTGAGTTCTGTACTTACAGTTAACAGGATCAAGCACTGAAAGCTCAGCCCAAGCCCTGCACTGCAATTGCTGTCTTTCTTTTATACAATGAAACTTGAATTTTCTTTTTCAATAGAGGTTGATCCTCCCAAGAACCTCCATGTATCAGATGTGACTCATTCTACTGGTGTGGTTGCCTGGACTCCTCCTGCAGCACAGATTGATGGCTATGCACTGACCTACCAGGGTCAAGATGGCACAAGCAAGGTACAGTGAATTCCTCAGTCCTGTAGACCCTACTGAAATCACCCTTATGATTATGCACTCTGCCAGTTGGATCTTGTGGCTATATGAACTACAGGAAAACAATTTCGAAGGGCAATCTGTGCTATCCATGGCTCAGGGAGGGAGAGCTTGAGGAAGGACATGTGCTACTGTCTTGAGTAGAAGCTCTGGAGGGACTCTGTGACCTCTTCTGAACAGATCTCAAGATTCAAAGAACATGGCGCAGAGAACATGGTTACTTCACTTTTCTAACTTTTTACTACCTGGAAGGGCAGCCCTCACCAGGCATAGGGTGTCCTCAGAGTCCGAACAGTGTTTCTTGAGACCTTGCCCCAAATCTTCCTTCTAAGGAGATGGTCTCCATGTTTCAAGGATGTACAGTGAATATGCCTGTCTGAACTCTACAAGAAAAGCCTGTAAATGCATTGGAGTATGAGGCACTGTGGTCCAGAAAAGCTAAATGCTATTCTGAGTTGGGTTGACTTTTGATCTGTTTTATTTGGCAGGAAGTACAGCTCAGTCCTAATGAGCAACAGTTTGTGCTGGAGGGACTGGAACAAGGAGTAAGGTATACTGTCTTTGTGATGGCCTATAAGGGAGATCGTCAGAGCAGAAAGACAGACAGTACCTTCTCAACAGGTAGGAACTGGCCTCAGGTGTTGCACTTTTCCCTGTGCTCTACAGCTGTTGTGTTTTATATGTAATATAAATAATACATATAAAATATATAATAATGACCTTGTATAATAAAGGTCAGAGGTGGAGTTCATGTTGTACAGATGCATTGGGAAACTATGTGATCATGAGCAAACCATCTAGCAAATCAATGATGTATCTCCTGGCTGGGCATCCATTCTAAGCCACACCATCTGGAGCCTTGCGAAACGCAATGGGGTAGTGTGAGTAGATGTTACTTGTCGTCAGTGCTGCTGGCAAACCTTGCTAACCAAGTGTGGGACAAAGCCTGCTGGTGAGCTGCCATTGGGCAGGAGAGATTATGATATGCTAGAGATCTTCCTGCACCATCCTAGTAATGGTAGGGCACAGCTGTTTAAGTACTCCTGTGGCACCGGGTAGCTGCCCAGGTTATTTTCAGAGGTCAGGAAATGCACACCCGAATGGCAACAAATCAAAAAAAAGCTCATGCCAGCTTGCAGTGGAAGCCTCTCATACTGTGCCAGTGCCCACGGGGATTGCCAGTTGTGGACAAATTGTGAAATGCAGAGACATTACAGTCCCTGTTTACTGGTACTCCCATCCTGACAAACAAGGGCTCCCTCTTTCTACTCTCACTGAGATCCAGGACTGCATCTCTTGCAGCCTCTGGGGACCCCATCCATGCTCCAGCTCCCAGGCAGTGGGGAAGGCTGCCAGCAGCAACCTGCTGATGCAGCTGTGCACAGTGGGAGCTGCTGATTTCTCTACTTGTCTTCTAGTACTGCTGTCCTTAGGAGATTCCTGAGGGTGTGAGATGCCTCCTGCAGCTCCATAGCCTGCTTTGCTGATGTGAAGTTTTCTCTTTCTGTTCTTGCAGTTAGCTTCCTCTACCCATACCCCGCAGACTGCAGCCAGCTGCAGCAAAATGGAAATACCTCCAGTGGCTTGTATACCATTTACCTGAACAGAGATGGCAGCAGGCCAATGCAGGTGTACTGTGACATGACCACTGATGGAGGCGGGTGGATAGTGAGTGATTCTTTGCTTCTCTTTAATTTTTATGAATGTAATCAGGTGGATCTGGTACTGGTGTTAGCTGGGGCTCGTTTTGCTCTACTGCACTACTGTGTTTCAGCTCCTGCCTTTATTGAGTGGCATTTTTCAGGAAGGGTGGTGGATGCTGATGTACCCCCTCAGACTGTCAGTAGGAATGCTGTGGGAGACTGAATGGGCAAAAGGCTTTTTCATTGTTTGGTTGTGAATGCCACACAAGCTTGTATTATTGCTGATTGAGGGCAACGACTGAATGACAGCTTAGTGTGTTACCTCATGCAAGTGAGAGGTCACAGGAGTTGTTTATGAGGGTGATTCAGCCCCGTGGTAAGATGGGGTAGTGCAGCTTAGCCTAATTGCCTTTCATAATGAGTTAACTAAACTATATTATTTCATCTTGACCACAATATAATATGTATGACAATTAACACCGTTCAGCTGAACCCGGTTAGTATTTTAAATACCAATGCTGTGAGCATGCACTTGAAACCTGACCACACAGAGGTTGTTGAGTGGCTCAAAGGAATCTGGAGGCAGAAGCACAGATGCTTTGAAGTAGGGAATGTGTATGAACATGCAGTGAATCTGAGGTTCTCAGATAGCTGTCTCACTAAATCAACCAAATAAAAATACCTTTATTCCCCTTTTTACCTTTCATTTTCAGTGATAAGTGATTTTCTTCACTGAAATAAATTGTGTATTACTGCCCAAATCCCTCTAATTTTGCTGAAGTTTAGAAACCCAAATGTCTCATGGATCTTGTCTCTTAGATCATGCTCAGATTTGTGGTGTCCATAGGCATTTGTGGAAAGTAAACTGTATAATCTGCACAACTTACTATTCACTCTAGTGCTTATGTGCATCAGAAAATGGAAATTAATTCCTGTGTGTACCCTGCTCAGGTGCAGTGTACTATCAGATAGAATTTTGTGTTCTTGAATGTTTCACCTTTTCAACTGTGCTTGAATCAGGATGAACATTTCTCATCTCCTTCCTCCTTGTCTTTCTTCAATCTGTCATGAACTGTCACTTAGCAATCGTTGCTTTGCAGGTGTTTCAGAGGCGGAGCACTGGCGAGGTGGATTTCTACCAACGCTGGAAAAATTATGTGGAAGGCTTTGGAGATCCCACAGGGGAATTTTGGCTTGGTACAGTACATGGGTGTGACCAGTGAAGATCTGAAGATTAGCTTTGTAGGAGCACCTAAATGCTGAAATATCCACCCCCAAGGCTGCAGTTTTGAACTATCAGCTTTTGTGTCTTCCTTAGAAATGCCATTGAAGCACTGAGGAATCTCTAAAGACCCACTGAGTATTTCAGCTAACATCTTTGGGCTTTGGAGCAGTCCCTGAGCAAGCCAAACTCCAGAAAGGTTTATTTCAAGCTTGTGTGCCCCTGTGAGAGGGGTAATAAAGAAATTGTGTTCATGAAAATGCAAAGACCAGGATACTAGACAAAACTTGGTTTATTCAGTCATTTTCTATCTGTCTTGTTCTGTTAGTGAACTCTGCATCAGAGAATCCAGCATTAAATAGGTCAAGGTCTTTGGAGCAAGAGTCTTTAAATGTTCTGGGAAAATAATGCTGTGCTACAGCCAGTCTTGTGCTGGTTTAGGCTGTTGGGTTTTTTTTCTGATACTCCCAGAAAATGAAGTAAGGCAGCTTAAACTTGGCAAAACATCATGACAGCATCAAGCAGGGAAGGAGGGAGGCAGGAAATATCTGATTTAACCAAAACAGCCACAGGGTGAGAGTCTAGTTTTGCAAAGGTGAACAGGCTTTTCCATTTTAAGAGTAATTATTTTTTTCTTTTAGGTCTTGACAAGCTGCACAATCTCACAAGCAGCAGTCCCATTCGCTACGAGCTCCGGGTGGATTTGCAGACACCCAGCGAATCTGTCTATGCTGTCTATGACTTCTTCCAGGTTGCCTCAAGCAGGGACAGATACAGGCTGTCAGTGGGAAATTACAGAGGCAATGCTGGTGAGGAGTGCCTTGTACTTGTGCTGTCTCTGCCTAGCACAGAGAAGAAAATGCTGGGACCTGTGTATTTGTTTTGCCAGTAGCATGGAAGCTCATTAGGTCAGGTTAGATCAGATGTGGTTCACTTTGAGGAGAGAAGTCTGTACTTCCTAGAAAGACTGAGGAGAGTGTGCCCACAGGCCTGTCTCCTGCTGAAGATGGGAAAAAGAGTTGCTTTTTCGTGGGGAAGAGAGGGCTCTGTAACCCAGTGAAACACCAGCTGAAAAGGCAGACTGGGAAGTATTTTTATGAGGTAACCTGTGCTGATGGGGGAGCAACTTCTGGGGCTCCCAGGCTGAGAAGTGCAAACAGAACGGCTTTTGTTCAGGATGGAAATTTGCTCAACAGCAGTAGCTATCCTGGTGCTGGCTTCTGCCACTTGTAAATCCTTACTATTGCCATTGTGTCCATAGTCTTCTACTTATCGTTTAATATCTATCCTCTTGCCACAAGGTTTAGATCTTCAGCTGGGAGAATCCTGTCCTTGGACATGCCCTCTAATAGCAGCCCTTTAGAAATTTTTGTCCAGACCTATCCTGTGCTGTTGCTTTCCCCTTATAGGCCTGCTGCGTTCTGCCTGAAGGGTGTCTAAGCCATCAGGCTGAGCAACTGTAGTATCTTATTCCTAATCATGTCTTTCATCTCTTCTCTTAGGGGATGCAATGACCTACCACAATGGCTGGAAGTTCACAACATGGGACAGAGACAATGACGTGGCTCTCAGCAACTGTGCTCTGACACACCATGGTGCATGGTGGTACAAGAACTGCCACTTGGCCAACCTCAATGGGAAATACGGGGAGAGCAAACACAGCGAGGTGAGTGGCAGAGCTCTATTAGGTGTTTTCCCTAGCCTTGAGAAAACATATGAGGGTGATGTCTCTCCTTGGAGCACTAGAGATTTTCTGGGCTATCCTACCTCATTTCATTTGAAAGGAAAATGATCTGAAGGAAACTTACTTACATAAGGGGACAGTGTTAGATTCCTAACTTGTGGTCTAGGTGCTTTAGTAAAAGAAATGCCTTGGTCTTTTCCCAGGGTGTGAACTGGGAGCCATGGAAAGGCCATGAATTCTCCATTCCCTTCACCGAGATGAAGATTCGTCCTCAGTCTTCCAGTAATGAGCCAATCCTGGGAAGGAAGAAGAGGTCTTTATTAGGGCAGAGGAAGAAGATCAGGGCTTAAATTGAACTCAGTGCAGGACAGTACCCAAAGATAATGATTCAGTATTTCTTAACAAAGTTAGATTCAGACAGCTTTCTGCAATACATTGGAGACAGTTGCTGACCAACATGCACTCAGAGACCTCTGGTTCTGCAGCCCAGTCTTTGGAGCTCCTGATGGCTGATCTGTCAGAGATTGGGAGCGGGCTTGTAGCTCCCCTGTTTGGCTAAACATACATGACAAGGACCCTTGATCCAACATATGCAACTTCCATGAACTTTACATAAAACAAGCTTTAATACATACTGTTCTTTTTCAAAATCCAAGGCTGCTGGGTCCTCTTAATTCTGTCCTTTTCTTGTGCTATCTGTTTCAGGCTTCAAAAAATTCAATTTGAACCCACCAAAAAATAATACCCCCTCTCAAATTACATCAGAGAGAACTTTTCTGAGACTATCTTTCTCTATTAGTCTGTGGTCCTCTTTTCCTCTCCACTCATCATTTGGGGCACATTTTCTACTCTTCCTGCAGTCAGAGTTGGGTTTTGGGAAATGCCATGCTGCTGGCAAAGCTCATTAACCCAGGTGAAACTTGTGATCTGGGTTTCTCAACCTCCAGTATTGCATCTCTCCAGGTTAAAACCCTGCTCTCTATTTTGCTTGTCATTTCTTGTACCCCAGCCCAAGGACAAGCCTAAGGAGACATACACTAAATTAATGTTCATGCTCCTGGATAAGACCCAGAACAGGGTGAGTGTTAAGGGCTATACTCCTCCAAGCTCTGCTCTCCATCCCAAATCTGCCTCTGCATACTGCTTTCCTAAGAGGCCACTTTCAGACCATGAACAAAATTCTCTATGTGACTGTCCCATCTGCTGTCTTCTGCTTTTTCATTAGCAGCATGGTAGCTAATGGTGCTGAAATGAGAATGCTTGTCATTTGCCACTGAATCGAGCATCTCTTGAGTTAAGCCAATCCTGCATGCTCTCCCTTGGGCCCCATTGCATGGCTTCACATTTGGCTCCTTTTTTTCCTTACAACCATAAAAGGTGAGTTTTATTTTCTTTCTGTGAGCAGATATTAAAATTCTGGACCACCAGCTGCAGCCAGGGAAGAAGTATGAGCTCACGAAATGATGCTTGCTCAAAGGCTTCCTTGTCTAAGCAGATTGGAACATGATTGTCTTATGTCTTAACGGCCTTTTCTATCCTAGTGCTAAGTTGAGTATTTTTCTATCCTACTGCTAAGCTGAGTAATACATTTAGAAGAATCCTTCCTGGACTCTGGGGAATTAATAAAACTACAAATAAAGGAACTTTTAAAATATTTCTGTCTTTGCTTTGAGTGGCAGAAGTATTTTTCTTCCCAGTTAAACTAAGCCTCCTTTATGGAGATGGAGCAACACTCAGACCCAGACTGGAGCTGTGATAATTATTTGGAGTTGTGTTCCAAAACGGGGATTGGGGACTATGTGATCTCTTTGTGACTTAATACTGCCAAGCAATTAACTGATCTGTGGTTGCTAGGACCTGGCTGAGGAGAGCTAGCTAGAGAGCTGTCTCTTAAAGGTGAGTACTAAATTCTTCATAGTACTTTCAGGGCTGTGTTTCTGGTGTGGGTGGGCAAGCAGAGACTCATCTGAGCTGTGCTAGGCTATCCAAGCCCTGGGCTGGGGGAAGGAGGAGAGGAAAGGAAAAGAGCACTTGAAGTGTTTTGCAGGCTCTGTGCTAAGAGCATGAGAGAAGGATGCAGGAAAATGATAAGGGCTCTTTACTGTGGTGAAGTGGTTTCTCCCTGTTGCCTGCTTGTCTGGATGCGAGGGCAGGTTTCACTCTCTTCTTCAATTAAAGGGCACACTGTAGACATTAGGAAGCTGACTGAGGGGGGCCGGAGGACTAACCTTACACAGAGCCACTCTAAAAGTGTACACTCTGAAAAAGACATGACTGTTACCAGCAGCAATTTCTTCTGCTGTGGCAAAACACAATCACTTTCTGAAGCCGAATCTTATCTATTGGCAGGGAATATTCTCTTAAGTGGCATCAGCTTTGTATTTAAGTGATAAAGGCAAATGAGACACCTTATTTGGTTTCCGAGGAGGGTTTACTTGTCCGTCCTAATCGTGGGTCCCTCCTGCACCAGGAAGGGCAAGCAAACTGACGGTTGCTGGAAGACCACTGCGGGAAGTCAGTATTTCGAGCAGCCACAGGATGGCATGATTTCTTCACGCTAATGCAGGAGAAACTTTCCTGTAACCAACCGTCCTCCGCAGAAAGACCTTTTTGGGGTTAACCAGAGCCTGTCCTACAGCTTTAGAAGCTGGGACTCCTCAGATAATGCAGTTTGTTTGCCTTAAGGAACTGGCTGTTCTGGTTTCAAGACTCAACCTGGTTGGGATAGTCCTGTAAAAAAATTTCACATTCTCTTCTACCCTTGTTTTGCTGCAATACCCAATCCTGTAACAGTGATGCCTTAGGGCTAAAAGAGGTTCTTGAAACCTTTGACTTGCCCTAAGATCACTTAAAATTTATACACCGGTTTGCAACAAGCCCAGAGGCAGAATTTGGAATTTGAATACCAGAAGGATCCTCTCTGCCTTGGCAGCAGAGGATCTCTCTGCTGGGACTCTCCTGTTGCTGGGTCCCACCAGCCAGGATGCATCTGCTGTGAAACATCTGGGGTACAGTACAGCCAGTGCTGCTATGGGAAGAGAAGTGGTAAACTCTTCACCCACCTCCCCACCGTCCTTGTGTTTACCCAGGAGGAGAGAGAAGGCATGCCTCTTCCCAAAGATACTGCACTCTGAATGGTGTGATTTGGAGAGAAGTGTGCCCATGCCAGGGGGGTTGGAACTAGATTATCTTAAGGTCCTTTCCAACACTAACTCTTTTGTAATTTCACTGGTCACTTGCAGTGGTGTTACTTCTGTTTGCTGCTCAAAGCACAGTGCTTTGCTGGCTGAATAAATAGAGCAATAGTCAGTGAAGATCCAGTTCTCCCATCTAAGTGGGGTTTGACAGGGCTGCGTGGGCAATTTCTGCATCTCATTCATTCCTGGACTGCTCTAGGATGCTCAACTTCCCCCCTACCCAGGAACCTCCTCTTCCTTCTGCAGTCCACACTACCCAAGAACACCGGGCCCTGAATATGGTGTGCAGGGCTGCCATCCTGAGAGAAGCAAGGTGTGCACTGATCATTTCTTCCCCCTCCACAAAGTGTGTCTCTAAGATTTCTAGCTGCTTGTTGCTGCAGTCCTGCACGCCTCATACTACCAGCCTCTTCCAGGGCCTCAGCTCCGTGGGCAACGTGCAGCTTGGTGCATCATCCAGATGAGAAGCATGTGTTTATTTTTTTCTCTCATGGAGGGAGAGCTCAGTGTTGCATGAGAAAGAAAGGCTCTACCCAGCAGAGGTGTGTGCCTGGTCCTGTGACTTGCCCAACGCAGATGACTGTGACACTATGAAATACTTATCTGATCAAAACTGACTGGGATTAACTAGTCCATGCTGCTGACCCTCTCCAAGACATAAAACCTCTCTAGTCCACCTCCTGCAGTGCACAAATATTGCTGCTCTTCCCACTACCTTTTGCCCTTGGGTAGAGCACCTTGGCTTTGTTCATTAACAAGGCAAGGCTATTAAACTTGATTAAGCTGTTTCTTTAAGAAAACATCTCTGAGCTTCACAGCTGGCTGCAGGCAGAGACTGTACAGCTGCCTGCTGAGCCCTCCCAGTGTCTTATCTAGGGCCAGGACACTATACAAAAAAGATTTCCCCAGGAAAATAAACATGACTGAGAGCTAGAGACAAGGCATTTGTTTGCAGTTTGAGAGTCATTTATTTTTGGTTTAAAAAAACAATTGCAGAAAATTTTTTTTTTTTCCCCTCTGTTGTATGACTGTTTAGGAAAATAGAAGGTTGATACTGAAATGCAGTTATGGGGGGCAGTGTGGACGTGGCTGGAGAGTGGGGACCCATGCAGTGGAATTTCTGTACCATGCATCTCCTGCTGCCGTGTTAGTTGTGCTGTGGGGTTGCTGCTGCCCGGCTGACGTGTGACGGGTTCCAGTGCACCTTAGGCTGTTGTTGCTCTTCTGCTTTTGTCTCAAGAGGCAGATGATGCAGTGTGTGGTTTGGCTCAAACAGCAGCCCACAAGCAAGTCAGACCCCGTGCTTTATGGGATGCAGAGGCTGGGACTATCCACTGGTCCAGTGGATTAGGGCAGGGTTGTATCCTGGTCCCTCCCTGCTCAGTTTGAATGATGATTTTGGAGACATCTTGAAATTTAGGCCTGGCTCTGAACTGCCAAAAACTTGGATCAGGTATGTTGTATGTATAATGAAACAGACATTTTTCTTGACAGTTCTCTGGTTCTTGTAGAAACTAGCTGCCCTCACCTGAAACATTGCTCACTACCCCTTCCAGAGAAGGACCTTCTTGCAGGGAGCTGTGCAAAGCCCGGCAGCTCTACACCAGGTAGGCGATGCTCTGCCAGTACTGGCTGCCTCTATGCCTCTGCTTGTTCAGGTAAGCCTCTGAACCTCCCATCAGGTTTCCCTTTGCTTGGGGGTTGCTGGTGCCTCTGGATTGCAACAGGAGCACCTGCATGAGCAGCTTTCCTGTCCCCAGGAGGAGGCTGCTTTGTCCACCTGGTGAGCACGGAGGCAGGAGGGCTGGGAAAAGTACATGAATGGGGAAAAGGAGGGAAGGAATAATACAAGTGCAGTGCTGGTTCCCTAAGGTCCTGACTGGACCGGGGGTTTGGGGCAGAGACCAGAGCTACGCCTGCATATTTCTCTCGAGGATTAGGTGTGGCAAATCCTAATTTTTTACAGCATTATATGTTGCTTCCTGTTTTGGAGGAGAAGGAAGATGCTTACTCTGATGGTAACAAAGCAAGCTAGAAAATAAGGCACATATGGGGTCAATTTCAAGGGCTGTGTGAGGAGAAGCCTGGCCTCCTGGCTGTTCCCAGCACAGCCACACACAGCCAAACCCCATGACGTGTTGTTAGCATCACCACCCTGTCCACATCAGACAAAACAAGCTGTGCTGGGACTGGGTGGCACAAGCACATGATTCTAACTGGTGGCTCTGCCCCTTGCCAGGGTGGGCCCCAGGAGGTGAGGGCAGGTAGCATTGCCCTTGCCTGGGCTGGAAGTGGTTGTGTCCAGCAGCTCCATCCAGGTTTGCCTGCTTTGGTTTGGCTACTTGTCCCCCTGATGACTGGATCTGTCTGGCAGCTCTGGTCTGCGCCAGCAGCTTAAGAAGTGGAAGAAAGTGGGAAGAAAATATCCAGTGTACAGATGCAGGGCAAAAAACAGATGTTATGGAACTTCTCATAACATGCACGCATCCCTTGGTGGCAAAACAAGTTCAGGGAGACAAAGCCTGGTGGATCGGAGAGCAGGGAGCAGAGGAGACCCCCAACTCTTCAAGGGTAGGCTGGGCACTCAGGCTTAGGAGGAGCAGAGGGTGAAGACCAGAGTAGGGGTGAGAGCTGTGTGTGGTCTTGTTAGCTGCTGTGCCTGGCCAAGCCATCGTGTGTCCAAGAGATGAAGATGGAGAGGGGTTGCAGGGTCCAGACGTACGATGCCTCCCTGGGTAAGGAATGACTGTGGTCATGAACTTTACTCCTCTCTACTTCTACAGCAAATCCCAGAGCCAGCCAGCTTGACAGCTGAACAGAAGCCCTCTGCGTGTCTAATGCATGGCACAAAGGCTGCAGAGAGAGGGGACTGCCAAGTGTGCCGGGAAAGCGTGTCTGCTGGTTCAATACCGCTTTGGTGTGCCTAGCCCCACAACATAGGAGCCTTTGGTCCTGCTCTTCTTTAGTAGTCATTCAATAAATAACTCTAATGCCTATAGCTAAGCCTATACACAGCCTCAGCTTGTGTTTCTACTCTTGCAGTAGCGCGGTGGCCTCTTTAAAGGCAAGTCTGTATAAAGGAGTCTTTTGAGGAAGATTATTTTTTTTAAGTGCTGGTGCAAAAGGGTCAGTCTTGAAGCCTCCTCTCTCCTTCCTCTATCTTAGGTGGCAGTGCATCCTTCTCCTTTGCTGCCTTAAGATGGTGTCTTGAGGTCTCTAAGGTTGGGCTGAGGGCATCTGGCTTCAGATGCTTGCAGCTGCCTTTGGTTTGGTGGCCAGGGAGGTGGCACATCTTTGAGCTGCGGGGTAACTCTGCACTCGGCCTTCTTTGCATCTCCAGTGTGAGCTTGGTTTGGATGGAGTCTAGACAGTCAAGTTGTGCCATCTCTGTGGCAGGGCAAGTAAATGTGCCATGCTTGTGCTTGCTTTATATGTGGCTGGCTGTGCAAGGAGAGCGTGCAGGCAGCTTGGTCTTTGTGTGCATGTGGTCCCATGCACCCTTGTCTGTGTCACAGTGCATATGCTTGCATACAAATGCAGAGGGAGTACCTCACACCCAGCTCACTGTGTGCCAGCCCAGTGCATGTGTGCTGTGCTTATGGTGGGAGGTACATATGATCTGGTGGCAGGTCACCCTTGTGTGCTCAGCAGGGCATATGTATGCATGCCTGTTGTTTGCAGGGGTTTCTGCCCTCGGGCACACTGTTGTGGGGGGGGAGAAGGGGCTTGCATAAACCTGTGCCTGACTGCCTTGCTCTCTGCTGGCTCTTCAGCATGCTGGTTGGCTGCTGAGCTTAGCCTCTTTTGAAAGTCAACATAAAGTGGCAGCAGCTTTGGCATCTCCTCGCCCCTTGCAGTGCAGAGCTGAAAGGACTGGTGGCCTCTATGCCCTCCTGTCCACTAGATGGGCAAGGAAGGTCTCTTGTCCAGCAAGAGTAGCTTGGGCTGAGCAGAAATCCACAGATCCTCTTCATCCCTCTTCTTTTTCTTTTTCTTCTTGTTCCTCTCAGCGTGCAGCTGCCCATTGCTGCTGGGGCCACCTTTCCTCCTGCTTTCTCCCTGCCGGCTACAGAAGCAGCAGTGGCAGCAGATGAAAATGAATGCAATGAGGACGACAAAAGGCAGACCCAACAGCACAGCCAGGCACACAGTGTTGAAGATGCCTTCCTCATGCTTGGTACGGATGAGCTCCAGGATGGAATTAAAGAAGGAGCTGATCTTCTGCTCCATGTTGGCTCCTGGGCAGTCTGCCCGTGCTGCTCCCTCTTCTTGAAGGCCCCCTGGGATATGTTCGGCTCCTGTAACGAGCTAGTGGGCTTCACAAACTTCTTTGGATGGTGCCTGCAGAGACAGGATATCACATGGATTGGGTGCCTGCTCCCTCAGCAATTCTCTCCATGGAGCTGCCAGCACAGTTAAAGCCTCAGCAGGGTAAGAGGTCTGCTGCCTTGGAGGAGTCTGGGGTCACAGGGGCTGGGCCATGCTGCTGGCTACATCCCTTTGCCTGTCCCCATATGAGAAAAGGGGGCAATTGAGAGCAAGTATTTACTACGTGAATGTATTGCCTCCATATTACAAAAGAAAGGGAAAGGCAGTAAAAGTCCACTCTTAATGTTGGATCTAAAAATCAGCCACCCCGACACACATCTTAACCCTTGCTTGGCAGCCAAAGCATGGAGCTCTTAGCCCTTTGTGGGGCTTATTTTTTAGCAAATTAAATACTGCCTGCAGGATGAGCTTTCCAGCCTAGGGAAGGGACATGCCTGGACCAGACAAAGGAACACTGCAGAGAGTAGTACTGCTGCCGTTGAGGCTGTGACTCAACACGTCATGAGTCTCTGCTTTCCCCTGGTCCACCTTGGGATGGGGTGTCTGGTTTGGAGAGACCATTTCTCATGGTCCATGGTCTGGGACAGGCAGTTGAGCTGCTGCGGGCTGGGGACTGCCCAGTGTCCAGGCAGCACAGAGACGAGATGTGCCTGTCCCAGGCACTGTGCTGAGGGCTGGTCCAGCCGCCCTGGCACCCAGGGCACTGCCAGCAGGTTTAGAGTGGGGGCTGCAGTCAAAGTACCTGGATTTTTTATGAGGACCATGGTCAATGGGACTCCAGGTGGTGGTCAGGTGGGTGGACCCTGGCAAGCAGCCTTGCACCCACTGTGGCACTGGGGGAACAAGGGTTGGCTTGGATGGAGGAGCTGCCTCTGCGGTGCCTCACCTGGGAATTGCTCCAAGGGTTTGGGTAGGGCCAAGGAGCATTTCTGCAGCCTGACGTAAGGTTTTTCCTCTTCCCTCAGGGAAGGAGAGGTGCTGCTGAGTGGCAGGGCTCCCAGCAAAGCTCTCCTCCAGGAGCAGGGAGCTGCTGCCCATGCTCATGGCTTTCTTCCTCTCCTGGCGCCAAGCAAAGCTCCCAGAGGTTCAGAATAGGGCAGGGGGCTTTGTGCCATGAGTCTGCAGTTCTGGCCCAACATGGGAGTCACTAAATTATGTGCTGTACAGATGAAGATCTGACAGGGGCAGTATCAGGCTCTAATATTTTGTTTCACCCTTGCTCAGCATTTACATTAGTATCTTCACTAGCCTTCGGGATTCAAGCCCCACAACCTCTTGAAGGAATGATGAAATCCCCATGTGCACAGGAGGGTAAACTGAGGCATTGTAAAAGGAAAGCCACCACTTCAATGTAATAAAAATCTAAGGGGTGCAGCTTGAACATCAAAGGTGTCCTGGAAGGCTTGTACCACTTGTACCCCATGACCACCAATTCCTTAGCTCTCCCTCTGGTAGCTCTTATAGAGCCAAAGCACCTCTCAGGAGGAATAGGAAGGGGACTTCACAAGTGCTCAGATCCTATTAAAAAGAATGGGTTTAAGCTCTCTGGCCCCCACAGAAACAGACTGACTGCTGTATATTTATTGTTTCGAGCTGCACAAAAGCGTAGCTGAACTGGCCCTAATTAGCTGGTGGTTTCTCTTTTAAATATGCACATGGGAAACGTGATGAAAATGGGTGTATTAATTTCTGTGGAAGCCCTTCTGAAAAACTCTCATTTGAGATTTACTATATGAAAGATAGTGCTCTGGGTGGTGGTTTGGGCTTTAGCTACAACTGTCTTCATTTAGCCAATGTTTTATTGCTGGATTTTTGTTCAGTCTGCTGCATCTTTCTGCTTGCTAGAAAGGGCGTTACATATACAGACACAAACTTATATGGTGGGGTTTTTTTTGGAGGTAAACAAGCAGGATGGTGGGGAGGCCAGGCCTGCACCCAGGAGGGTAGAGATGGTGCTGCAAGAGACAGAAGAACCTCTTCCACCCCACCACTGCTGTTCAGCAGCTTCCCAGCCTTGGGAAACCAACTTCCCCTTGCATTGCCTCATTCCCCTACCTGGCAGAAGATGGTGCCACTGTCTCCACCTGAGAAATCACAGGCTACCACTGAGGGCTTGGTGACTAGAGTCTCATCCATCCTCTTCCTATCCCCAGCCTGGAGCTGGTAGTGAGCGTTACAGATCTGCTTTTGCTCACAGGGGAGATAAGCAAGGGCTTTCTGGGTGGCTTGCTGGCCTCAGCTATCCATTGCCCACAGGCATTACTAGCAAAGGGCAAGAGGAGGAAGAAGTGAAAGCAACTTCTTAAAACTGCTCCCTGTCCCAACCTTCATCCTCACCAAGGCCTTTTTTATTTTTTGGTAGCTGTAAGTAAAGGTTAAACTGCAACACAAATAAACAGAGCTCCCTTTTTTCAGCCTGAATCATCTATGTGATGCAGGTTTGCCATTTATCCATAAATATCCTGACAGCTCATTATCCAGGCAAGAATACTGGATGTCTATGATACACTTCACTCCAAAAAAAGAAGTAAAAAAGCCCAAGCCCGAAACAACAACTGCCTTAATTTCAGACAAAACAGGATATACAATTTTATTCCTGCACTGAGCTGCTTTATACTTACTGCCTCTAAACTTCTGGGGAGGGAAGGAGGCTGGAACTTCCTTTTAAACTTGTAATTAATTGTTTGCAGAGGAAAACAAAACAAAACAAAAAAGCAGAGGCCTTTGAAATGTTTCTACTTTAAACCGGAGCTGAATGTAATGCAGAGGCCCTTGCTGCTTGTTCCTGAAGTGTCCGGCCAGGGACTTGTGGCTGCCCTGGGCAAGCGTGGAGCAGGATGTGGCTGAGCATCCCCTGCAAGGGGAAGGCAGAGGTACCTGCGACCACCCTGAGCAAGCAGCACTGAAATCCCAGGGCCACCTTTCAGCATGGCTATGCAGCTGGTTTTCAAATGCCTTTTCTTCTCAGTGTGTCCATCGCCTTTTGTTTTGTAGATGAAGGGATGTCTGTGTATTTGATAAAGGGGTTCTTCAGTTTAATATAAAAAAAAGGGGGGTGGGGGAGGGGAAGTAGAAAAACTAGTGCCTTTTGATCCAGCAACTCCAAGGGCAGATGGGTTATCCAAGGCCACCTACCACTAGCTGAAAGTCCACATGCACAGTAAGAGCTACATTTAGGGGAAAAAAAAAACCCATGCTGCTGCTCAATTTGGTGTGACAGCACCACCTCCCCTTAGAGAGGTGACAAAGGGGGAGAGCTGCATCCACACTGTGGCCCATAATGGGCATGCACTGTGTGCCCAATGTACATGGAGCTGCGGCCGTTTTGTTTGGCTCAAGATATGGGACAAGAAACAGGGCTAGGGAGGCACTGGGAGTTAGGGAAGCATCTCGGGGAGGGCTGTTAAGTGCTCTGCTAAATGGTTTTGGGTAGCTGGTAGTGGCAGCAACTCAGGGTAAAGCTGACATGGTAACTCGCTTGGGATATCCTACAGCCAGGGATAGATGGCTCTGTCTGATGGCAGCTCTGCATGGCTGGGGTTTGTGCAGCTTGTGTAAGCATTAATTGAACTTGGGCATCCAACATGAGGTTCTTTAATCCATACTGGCTCTGAAAGAGCCGGTTTTCAAGGGTGGGGAGCATCTGCCACTCCTCCAGTTACGGGCAGCTGTGGGTGGAAAACAAGCTCCTTTTGAGGGCCTGCTTGGGATGGCACCACAAACCATTCGTGTGCATGGCCTGCCTGGCTGAGCTGGAGGGGTAAAGGCTGCCAGCCTGAGCATGGGGAAATCAAAACAGAGGGGTTGCCTTGGCAATGCTGGCTTGCTCACATCCTGCAGAGCAGGATGTGCACTGCAGAGCAACCGCAGTGGCTGGTGGTGAAGGTTGAGTTCGTGGAAAAGTTGCGGTTTGCTTGAAACAGGGGGCAAAGGGCTGGAAACTGCTACACAGGGTCACTGTGGCAGAGAGGAGAGAGCTGGAAATGTTTTAGGACCCGATTTTGCAAGTCCTTTAGGCTCTCACTCAACAGGCTCTTATATCTCTCTGAAAAGCCTAACAAAGCTCAACCTGCTCCTTCCAGCTGACAATGCAGCCTGGCTCAGGTGGGAGCAGAGTTGCTCTAACGAGCTTTTCCCTGCATCCATATTGAGAGCAGGGACAGCTCCAGAGGCTGACCAACCTACAGCCCGTGACTTCTGGGCTTTGGCCTTGATATTTCTAGGTTATTTAACTCCCCCATGCTTGCTATCCAGCTGCAACTCAGGACTTGGGGAGGTGACTGAAAACCATCTGACTTGCTGTCACCCTCACTTCCTTAATGTGGGTAAGACCTCACTTCTGGTAAGACTTCACTTCATACAATTGATGCTGTAGTGCAAAGAAGGAGCCACAGTATTAAACTTGACTGCTTTCTGTTACTGGCTTTATATCAGCTTTATATCCACTTTCCACTGGCAGTGATAGCTACAGGCCAGGCTAGGAGAGGCTAAGTTCTCTATCAATCAGAGCCTGCGAGCTCTCCGATACAACTAGCAGGGACGCAGCTACACTCACACACACGAGTGACATCTATTTTCCCATTTGCACCTGCAGACTTAAAGGAAAACTGGATGAAACCTGACACTGAGGGTGAGCAGTTTCCTTAGCTGGGACTGCATGTTACTATTTCGGAAATAGTGAATATTGAAGAGTTTTGCTGCTGGTCTCCCAGAACTCGCAGCAACATCTAGAGACTTTCCTCAAACGTTATAAAAATCAAAAACCACCACCACCACCAAAAGCCACCACCCAACAAACAAAACCAACTAAAGCTTCGTCTTATTCCCACCACCACCAAACCTTCCAGCCAGAAGCTGCATGTAGATCCTTTCACCCCCTGAAGTGAGGAATTTGGAAAACT